CAGTTTCTTTAGGAAGGAATTTGCAAGGTTAAGTACCTAATCAGGAAGCACTTGGGGAACAATGCATCTTCGAATGCTCCAATCAACATAAGAAGTCTTCCTGGAGACATACAAGATACCATGTGGACAATGGCTTCAGCCTGTAAAGACTGAGGCTGGGTCTACACTACCCGCCTGAATCGGCGGGTAGAAATCGACCTCTCGGGGATCGATCCCCGAATAGACGCTCTTACTCCACCAGCGGAGGTGGGAGTAAGCGCCGTCGACGGGAAACCGCAGAGGTCAATTTTGCCGCCGTCCCTACAGCGGGGTAAGTCGGCTGCAATACGTCGAATTCAGCTACGCTATTCGCGTAGCTGAATTTGCGTATCTTAAATCAAACTCCCCTCCCCCCCCCCCCGTAGTGAAGATGTAGCCTGAGTCATGCAGGGACATGTGACTTGCCCAGGTGACTCCAGAACTCCATCTTGGAGCTGGACTTTGCATAGGAGTGAGGAGGGGAGTCTCCACCCACAAGAGAAAGTCTATTTAAACCCATGGGAGACCCCTCCATTTTGTCTTCAGCTGGCTAAAGAAGGAGCCTCTCCACCCCCCAGAATACTGGAAGGAAACTGGAACAAAGGACAGTAAATACAGGGGGTGTGAGGGATTGCTGGACCCAGGCTAAAAGGAGGTTAGCTTGTAAAAGGTGTAAAAGGGAGCATTCTGGAACTGGTGAGGATCTTATCTGTATTCAGTGTTTGATTAGACATAGATTTGCGCATTTTATTTTATTTTGCTTGGTAACTTACTTTGTTCTGTCTGTTACTACTTGGAACCACTTAAATCCTATTTTCTGTATTTAATAAAATCACTTTTTTCCTTATTAATTAACTCAGAGTATGTATTAATACCTGGGGGAGCAAACAACTGTGCATATCTCTCTATCAATGTTATAGAGTGCGAACAATTTATGAGCTTTATAAAGGGTAAAATGGATTTATTTGGGTTTAGACCCCATTGGGAGTTGGGCATCTGAGTGCTAAATACAAGCACACTTTTGTGAGCTGTTTTCAGGTAAACCTGCAGCCTTGGGGCAAGTAATTCAGACCCTGGGTCTGTGTTGGAGCAGACGGGAGTGTCTGGCTCAGCAAGACAGGGTGCTAGAGTCCTGAGCTGGCAGGGAAAATAGGAGCAGGGGTAATGTTGGCACATCAGTTGGCAGCTCCCAGGGGGGTTTCTGTGATCCAACCTGTCACAGGGACCATCTGTTTCTTCTGTCATTGTACAGCTCCCAGCACCATGGGGTTCTGCTCCACAACTGGGGCTCCTACACACTACAGGAATAGAAGTAATTAATAATAATGACAAGGATATCCATACAACACAGTACGTGACCACCCGATAAACATTTATGCATGTTTCATCCTGGCACCTCATCACTACCACATCAACAACGGGTTCTCTTATTTCCTTCCCAAATGACAAGCTGCTTCAGTTAAACTGTCATGCTTTTCTTTCATTTGTTCTGCTGCAGAGAAGCAACAACCACCCCTTGCATTGACTAGCCCAGGGGAAAGGTTAGGGAATGTGCCCTCACGCTTGCCTTTATATTTGTCATTCATGGATTTCAAAGCACTTGAGCCTTCTTTGTGGTTTCAATATTCCCATTCCACAGATGGGGAAAATGAAGCCTAGAATAGTGAAATGATTTACCCAGGTAACAACTAGTGAGTGAGAGTGTCAGGGATGGAACCCAAGGCCACCAGGTTAGTCCTGTCTCCATAGGATCATGCTGCTCCTGATGTTGAAATAAAGCATGGACTTTTTATTTTAAACACCCAGGACTATCATTTCACTGATCTGCTGGCAAAGTTAAAATATAAAAATACTTTCTTAAGAAGATGCAGGACATAAAACAGCTCTTCTGTGGAGGCAAAGGAGAAAACTGATCAACCAGCTTTGTTAACATTCCATTAAAAAAGGGGTGTGAGCGGACCAACTCTGACAGGATGAGGCCAATGGGGTTAAAGGCGTTGCCATGTTATAAAAGCTTGAAAATCAGCGTTCATAAGAGTAATAATTCCAAACCTATTTTTTAGCACAGCCTAGATCTGAAAAAAGGGTCTCATGTTTAGTTTTAGGGCACAACAAGGTCTCGAGATATTTTGTCACCTTGTTGGGCTGTTTATGAAAATATTTAAATATACAAAAAAGTCTAAACCAGGACTAAAAATGAATGTCTGTGGCTACAGAAAACTCAAAACCAGCTAAATATAAATCCCCCAAAATGAAATTAATAAATGCCTCAAAACTATGAGGGGTTGTTTCTGGAGGTTGCAATGAGGTCAATAGTTTTCAACTTTACAACAGATAATAGTTGATGATACCCCTAACTGCTGTCAAACAAATAGCTTCATGACAAAATTTAGTGCAAAATATAAAATAAAATTCTACTTAGAAAAGTGGCTAAGTAAACATGCAACCTTCTTACTTCACAGTTCTGCTCCCTTAGCTTCTTCAGTACTGCTTATTTCAGTGATTATTCCCTCCTCTCTCCCCTCCACCCCCCGGGCTTTTTACTCCTGTTAGCCCTAGATTGCCAGCCATCTATAAGAGAGTGAACTGAATTCTAGCCTACTTGTGTGCAAAGTTACTAAGGTTCAATCACTCATCCTTGTAAAAAGCCACAAAAGGTGATGAATTTGGACAAGTATTACTCAGGCATAATCTGGTGAGCAGAAGTTGTACTTTTGTAACTAAAGGCAGAATTTGGCCTGTAGATTTGTACAGATTTGCGGCGATATGTAAGAATGCAGATTGATTTTCACATTTGCAAATTCCTCCTGTGATCTGGGGTTAAGAAACATCTTTCATATCTGAACAAATTTAGTACTGGAGCCCCACTAACTTTATTTTTAAGTGACTTTAGTAAGTTTTATTTAGACTCAGGACGTGCAGAATTTGTTGCTGTTAAAGTTATAACTCTTCTGCCAGATCGAGTTGGTAGCAACAAGGGCCAGGTTCATTATTTAGATGTTCCTCTTAAAAATACAGAATAGAACCGGCTCGAGCCCCCATTCAGTAATCAGGGAAAACCTAACAAGACTCCATGGGTTCCTCTAAGAGAGAATACTTCCCCACTTGTAAGCATTGAGTCAGTGTATAAAAGAAGAGAACTTTATTAAAAGGGAAAGGGAACCAAGCCTTAATTTGGGAAAACATCACAACCACATTCAAAAGCATTTGATCATAAGCAAACCCAATCCCACAGTGCATTGGGCAGTGTCCTTTGCCTCAGTTCCCCACTTTGAAGTGGGAAAGTCTGATGAACTAATCTCCCTTTAACACATCACTCCCCTGTCCCTCTACGGCACCCCATTCATAGTTGGCTGGCCTTGGTTAGTGAAGACCCAGAGTTCAGAGATGTCATCAGACTAGGGCCTGGCCTTCTGATTATACTTCCCTGAGAACAGGGAGGTTACAATAAAGCCAAATCTCAGCAGTTCCACAGCACATTATAGCTTCAAAGCGGCTTGTGACCAAATCTAGTGACTGGAAAACTGATCAGCTAGGGTAGCCTGCTGGTTCTTAGTGAAAACTATAATACAAACAGCCGGTGAAAATATACAAGCTTTTTTGGACACAGCTTATTCAGTCCTATATTGGCACTTGTCTCCTCTTCATGGGTGGGGGGAGGTGGAGAAGGAGACAATCAACGAAGTCTTTGTCCTTCGATATTTCACAATGGCTCCTTTGGTTTCAATGGGTCTGGTGTGCAGGACCAGCATGATCCATTAATTAAGGCTTCTTTCCTGTTTGATGGGTTACACAGTTACAGAAGTTTTACAGTACAAACATTCATGAGATACCATAAAATACAAGTATCAGAGGGGTAGCCGTGTTAGTCTGAATCTGTCATCAGGGATACTGTTAAAACTTTTTAACAGTATCCCATAAAATACAGATGTTATAAGCGAGACAAATACATGCAGCATCCTACATGCATTTTATTGAGTCTAAACATATCCTCATAAACCGAACTTTTATTTTATCAGAGCTAACATGCCGGTGAGCCAGACTGCTTTCCAGTTGTGCATTTGTCAGTGCTAAGTGAGGCCTCGGGGCCTTGTCATGAGCTGGCACCTGGTCTAGCAGGGTCACATGAGCTCCTTCTCCAAACCACTAGCAGATGGCTGCCACCATGGAACAACGTAGAATAGCTTGAGCCTTGCTCTTCAAACAACCACATATAGGTGACCCCTATGCTCCAAGCACTGCATTGGGAAAGGGGAAACGTAATTAATTACTTGATTATAACTATGCAGCCACCACCAGTTTCTCCACACCATTTACATGCCATGCCCCTGCACCATTGGAAAGGATGAGCAGCTGGCTGGCCAGAATAATGGCATTTTCCATCTAAAAGTTGCAGAACATCTACAGAATTTTTAAGGGCAGGTTTATACAAACCCAACCAGCATTAACTTTGCCTGCTATAATTTCTGTGACCCCATTGAAAGGGTTATAATGAACACACACATCAAGGGAAGGCAGCAGTGGTTATAGGAGCAACAAGTAAAAGAGACATATTGGCTGTGCCTAAAAGACCTAGGACATTTCACTGCATTTGGCTCATCTCTTCCACTCTCGTGGATCCTCAAGGCCTAGGCAACATATTTTTAGAATCCTTCCCCATCCCCTAGCCCCCAACCTTCTCTGCAGCTCTCTTGGTCCCAGCTTTTGCAGCTGGAGGAAGATGTGGTGTAACTGTACCTCCTCAAGAGCTGTGCTAATTTTGAGGCTGTTGTTCCATTTCCATTTGCTTTTATGTTGCAAGGGGCTAATTATTCCATTTCACAACTGGACACATCCACGCTGATATTTTTTTTCTTAACATCAGAGTTGCGTAATCTGAAAATTCTGCCTTCTATAGTTCTAAGCTCTGATTTGCTAGGCAAACAGACTCAGCTTTTCTACAACATATAAATAGCAAAGAGACGTATGTTATAGCTTTAACTTAGGCAGAGAACTCCGGTGACACGTCTGCAAAATGATCCCACTCAAATTGATTGTTTTTGTTGCCTTGGTTTCCATTGGTAAGTTAAGATTACTATTTCATTCATTTCCTTGAGTCTTTTTTTCCAAACAGACTTTTTAGCAGATGGTGGAATATCAGCTTAATATTCTTGCAGAAAAATCCATCCTTTATAGATTAGCTAATTGACAAAATATAAAATTATTCATGTGCATCTATTTTAGCAGCAATTTGTAGTGACTACTATGACATACTACATGGTTTAAAGCAGGGGTAGTTAATAGGTGGACCGCCAGCCAAATCTGGACTACCAGACACTTTTGAACAGACCACAAAGTCTTATTTACTATCATCGTTGTTATTTTTGTATTATTTTCTCTGGAGTCTAGACTTTGATTATAGCTTGACCAAGAAATTTGGACCTTGACAAAAAAGTAAATGATTATCCCTGGCTTAAAGTAACAACACAAGAATTTTAAAATTAAGGTGGTTTTAAATTAGTCTTAATAGGTCTGAAAACTAGAGTATATGCAAGCACTCAAGTTATTAGCTCTACATTATTTCTAGAGGAATTTATCTTTTACTTTGTCTTTGTAACACAATATTAGAGAAAGTCATATTGAGCAACTAACCTTCAAAGTCTGAAGAGATGTGACCCAATTCTGATCTCACTTACACCGGTGTAATTTCATTGATTTTTTAAACAGAATGAGATCAGAATAGTCCCAGAGTCTCTGGTCTTGTCTGCACTAGGCTTTTTCTTCTTAAGACTTCCTAGAGTTTATTCCATTGGGGCAGCTAAATGAGTGGCAAAGTGATAATCTAGCCTGGTGTGAATTTAGATGACAGGGTGGTTAAAATGCCAAGTGACACTCTACCATCTTCTGAATTACAGATTCTTGGTTTTCCATCCCGAAATAGAGAGCTGAGTAAGGGCTGACCAACAGCCAAGATGATGGAAACAATGTTATTTATGTTAATATCTGCTTATGAATATGTATCTTTTCTAGATAAAAAAGAAGATCTTTTCTTTTTAGATGTCTGCCAAATTCCCAATAGTCTTCGGTAACTTTATCATTATCAACATACACAAGCAAGTGAAGGAGGAAATAGGTTCATTTTAACTCAGTATACCCAAAGTAATTTACTTCTCTTTTCAGCCTTGCCAAGAACCTGATCTGGAGCGCACTGAAGTCCAAGAACAGGCTTCAGGAGGCTTTAGCTGAGGGCTATATAGAAGTTGGGGCTTGGAGCTACTTGCTTCTTTCCTAGCAATAATGGAACACTTGCAAACTGCAAATCCCCAGCTCTGCAGATTAACTATTACGAGAGGCAGGGTTAGGCAAGCTGGAAAGACCAAAAGATTATTTATATGTGGTTTCCTGCTGCCTGGAGGCAGCTCCTCAACTTGCAGCTATAAAGGAGAATTCTTTCGTTTTTTGACTCAGTGTGCTAAGCTTTCCTGTGAATAGGTCAGCCTGATGGAGAGCCAACATCCATAGCCTCCTATGACCTCACATGTGTACTCTTCTACTTCAGAGTTAAATAATGCCCTCAAATGCTTTATTACCATCATTCAATTTCCCCAATCAAGGAGGATAGAATCTGACCCTTAGCCTCAGTTGTTATTCATTATTTATATGACAGTAGCACCTAGGAGTCCCAGTCATGGGTCAGGACCCCATTGTGCTGTGGGCTGTACAAACAACAGAGATTCCCCGCTCCAAAGATTTTACAATCTAAGTCAAGGCTGAGAATTCTTTTCGGGTTCTGTAAAAAATATACATATATTTGTTGGTTAGATCAGTTATTCCTATATCAAATCTCAAAATCTTCTCTTCTAAAGTATGTATTCTACTTAAAAGTAAAAAAACACCACTCTGCTTACATTCAAGTAAAGAATGATAGAGCCACTAGTTTCTGGGACTCACACAAGCAATCTGTATTGGAAAGTGTCACTGTACAAAGCAGATTACTAATTAATTCCAGTGTCCTCCAATTTTATTCCATTAGTTGCATAGCAAATACTTAGTATGCAACTTTCTATCGTAGAAAAATAGAAAATATGCTTAAATTTTCTATATTTTTTTTAAGTTGCTGCCGGACCATGGGGACAAATATGTGCTGGGAATCCTTCAAACAAAATAAGGGGCTGTGATAACAAAGGATGTGGAAACTACGGCGCTCGAAGGAAATCAAAGTAGTATATTTATTAACACTTTTTTGGCAATGCATTTTTTCTTTGTTCGTAGTTGTTGCTAAAATAATGAAACGTTCACGTAGAACAAAAAAAATCTGAGTTTAGCAGCCATCATTTAAAGCACTTAAGGCTTGTGAAGTGTGTCAGAATGACACCACTGCAGACCAACTGATAAAAAAAGAATGTGGCAATGTCCTTCTACTGTGCAGTAACCCTTAAGTGATACATTCACACTGAGCATAGGAGATAGCGGACTCCATGACCCATTCAGTCCTTGACCTTCATATTGTTGGGGCTTTCAAGAAGGGTCCTTACATACATTACTGCTACTTCTAAGTATTTTTGTGATGAGAACAGGACATTTGCCCACTAGGAATTGGACTCAGACCACCAGATGATTTACACGCAGCTCTAGACATGGGCAAGACAGAACTAGTTAAGAAATAACATTGAAATGGTCTCACTTCCAAGCGCTTGAGTGATCTGAGTCTCCAGCTCATAGGTCATATGCGGGGGCGGCTCTGGGTATATTGCCACCCCAAGCACGGCAGTGAGGCAGGCTTCGGCGGCATGCCTGCGGGAGGTCCGCTGGTAACGCGGATTCAGCGTACCCGCTGCCGAATTGCCACCGAAGCCACGGGACTGGTGGACCTCCCGAAGGCAGCCTGACTGCCGCCCTCACGGTGACCGGCAGGCTGCCCCCCGTGGTTTGCTGCCCCAGGCATGCGCTTGCTGCGCTGGTGCTTGGAGCCGCCCCTGGTCATATGCTCAGCAGGTATAAGTCAACAAAGCTCCTAGGAAGTCAACTGGAGTTCCACTGATTTATACCAGTGTAAGGTGAAGGGTTCTTTTGAGCCTCATAAGTGATCAGTCCGCTAGCAACACGAGGTTAACTAGGGATATTAACAGTAGATCTGGTCAAACTATTTCCATCAAAATTTATTTTTTTTTAAATGACAAAAGATTTTTCCTCCCATGTCCCTATGAGAAAATTTGCACATTGCTTATACATTTTTTCTGGGTTTTCATTTAAAAACAAAATCCCCCAGGCATGGGTTGTATTCCACCTTTTAAAAAATTTAAAAGCGAACATTTTGATTTTTAAAATATTTTGCATGGAAATTGAAACCTATGCATTTTTTTTTACCAGATCTGATTAACTTTTGAGAGTTTTTCAGTTATTGAAGCTGCATTGAAGCCTCAAATATTTCTACTAGCATTACAAAGCTACAAAATTAAAATACAACTAAGTTAATAATAAGTAGCCATAGGCCCTGTGTTGCTTTAAATAATCTACATGGTATACGATATTAGACATTATGGCTATACAATATGTAAATCAGCAATGTCTCATTACTTACACATGTATGCCTTTTCAGAGATGGCACCATAAGACGACATCTAGGGGTGGATGTTGTATGCAACGATGGATCAACGGTGTATGCTCCTTTTAGTGGTACTATTGAGAGACAAGTTATCCCCTATAAATTCAATAATGCCATTAATAATGGACTCCAACTCCGTGGATCAGGTAACTCAGCTGCCATAGTATTGATCTTTAATAAACATTAAATATGTCTCATGAAATAATTTTACCTAATTCTTGACCAATTGGAGAGTTGTGGAAGAAGCACAACCTAAGCACATTTGGGTGGTAAACAAAGCATAACTGTACAGAATAGGTCAAAGCCTGTATTTCAGTCAGAACTGTCTGTTCCTGTATTTGAATCCAAGCACAACTTATTCACTCTTCAAAACATGACTGGCCAAATTCTCCATAAACAGGACCAGCAACACAATCCTCTCCACCCACTTAGACAATGGGACAAAATGATGACCTAAAGTGAAGGAAACAAAGAGGAAAAACAAAGTATTAGAACCTGGATCTTGAAATATATTATAGTTCAATTCTTTAAGAGAAAATTCTCCACCACTTTCTCTCAAAGGACAACAGCCCTGAAAACCTCAATTTCATGAATACTGTAGACTGGACTGCACTTGTGCTGAAAGCACTTTTAGCACTAATGAATAGTACAAGAGTGGAAGATATTTTGACTCTGGCCAGAGTAGAAACAGCCAAGGAGATCAGATGACCAAATATTGATGTTTCCTTTACCCTTCCTTAATCTTTCTCTTTTTTTTTTTGTTCCTCCCATCAAGGTTTCTGCGTAAAAATGCTCTATATCAAGCCTGTTAAATACCGAGGCCAGATCACAAAGGGCAACAAAATTGGAGTAATGCTGCCAATGCAAAAAGTATATCCTGGTATAACATCTCATGTTCATATTGAGAACTGTAACAAATCAGATCCTACTGGTAACTTATAAATGCAAAGATATATGAAATGAAAACGTACAAATTTTCAAACAAAATCAAGTTTCTTTCCTCCTTCCTAGAGACGCTGCCTAAAAAAATGTAATCCATGGGAAAGGAAAAGATGTATTACGCATACAGCAAAATAAAAATGTGTATGTCAGCTACAGTAGCCATGTGTCTCGCTACCAGTTTAACATGCTAGTGCTTATCTGAACATGATGACATTGTAATCTCAAGCTCAGCAGTAAACTATACCAAAATTACCGGCCCGTCCAATTGCAACCTTTTTTGGTATCAATACTTGTTTTAATATCGTATCTTTGTCTAATATGTAAACTGGGAACTCTTCATTAGATGCATGGACTCTTGATGTGAAATATTAGAGAAGAAAAGTTTTCTCTCTCTCTATTTCTAAATGAGTCCAGGTAATAAAACAGGCAGAACAACCTCTTTATTCAGTTGACAGGCAGAGAGAGTAGTGGATGTGTTTTACTCCATCTTCACCTAAGTGGATCTGAATTGTAGCCCGGGGGAAAAACACTGACAGACTTTTGAGAACACTCTCTTTCAAGAAGGCAGATCCCATAATGGCCCTTTTCTATTACTGCAGTTTTCAAGGTCCTCCAGATCTTCTTGTATGATATTCTGGTTGTCCTCCATATTGGCAATACCTCCCAATTTTGTGTCACCTGCAAATTTTATTAGCACACTCCCACTTTTTGTGCCAAAGTCATGAATTGGTCCCAAGACCAATCCCTTAGGAACTTCACGAGTTACCTCCTTCCAGCCTGACAGTTCACCTTTCAGTATGACCCATTGTAGTCTCCCCTTCAATTAGTACCTTATCCACCTTTCAATTCTCATATTAATCTCCAATTTCACTAAATTTCCCATGTGGAACTGTATAAAATGCTTTACTAAAACCCAGGTAGATTAGATCTACTGCATTTCTTTCCTCTAAAAAATCAGTTACCTTTTCAAACAAAGATCAGGTTGTTCTGGCATGATCTAGCTTTTGTAAAACCATGTTGTATTTTATCCCATTACTTTTTACTTCAATGAATTTAGCTACGCTCTTTTTCAAAAATTGTTCTAAAACCTTGCATACAATTGAGGTCAAACTAACAGGCCCGTAGCTTTCCTGATCACTTTTTTCCATTTCTTAAAAATAGGTACTATATTGGCAACTATCCAGTCACAGGGTACGACCCCCGAGTTTACGGATTCATTAAAAATCCCTGCTACGGGGCTCGCAATTTCACGTGCCAGTTTCTTTAATATTCTTAGGTGGAGATTATCTAGGCCCCCCTTATTTTGGTCTCATTAAGCTGTCTGAGTTTCACTTCCACCAGGGATGTGGTAATTTTACTACCATATCCTCATTTGTCCCTCCCATTACCCCATAGCTCCTCATTATGCTTATTAAAAGCTGAGGCGAAGTATTCATTTAGCTGTTGGACCATGCCTAGATAATCTTTAATCTCCAGCCCATCCTCAATGCTTAATAGTCCCACTTCTTCTTTCCTTGTTTTCTTTTTGTTTATATGGTTATAGAACAGTGGTCCCAACTTCACTTGTCGCCCCCAGCCCCTGTCCAAACCCTCCCCTCCCCCGGGGCACAGACAGGGGTAAGCGGGCCGGGGCTGGGGCTGGAGCCGCGGCCAGGTCAGGAACCAAGGCCAGGGCCACAGCTGGGTCTGAGACCGAGGCCAGGGGCAGGGCTTGGGACATGGTCAGGGCTGGGAGCAGAGCCATGGCCAGGGCAGGGCCGGGAGCTGGGACCATGACAGCAGCTGGAAGGTGGTGCCACCGCTGGGGGCAGAGCTGGGTGGTGCTCCCTCCCCGCCCTCCATGGGGGCTGCCCAAGGCCCTACTGCACCCCCTCAAATGTCCCTCTGTGCACCCATAGAGGGGCATGCCTCACAGTTTGGGGACCACTGATATAGAATCTTTTACTATTGATTTCAATTTCCTTTACAAGATCCATCACTGCCTGGCCTTCGAAGCTTTCTGCTTTCTCCTAATAACCTGTTTCAGATGCTTGCTCATCCAGTTTGGCCAGCAACCCTTCCCTATGATTTTTTCCCCCTTGCTTGGGATGCAGGCTTCAGATAGCTTCTGCAACTTTGACTTAAAATAATTCCAAGCCTCCTCCACATTCAGATCCTTGAGTTCTTCAGTCTAGTCCACTTCCCTAACTAATTCTCTTAATTTTTTAAAGTTTGCCCTTTTAAATAAAGGACCCTAGTTGCAGACTTATTTAGTTTAAAATGGATTAGCTCATGATCATTTGAACCAAGGCTTTCCTTTACAACCAGTTTTCTATGAGGTCCTTGCTACTTACCAATACTAAATCTAAAAGAGCATCACCTCTTGCTGGTTTGGTAACTATTCAGTGAAGAAATCTGTCAGCTATCACATCCAGGAGTAGGTGGGCCCTACCATTATTAGTAGCACTTGTCCTCCAACCTATATCTGGGAAATTAAAGTTTCCCATAATCACACAATTTCCAGAAGTATTTATTTAATTAAAAATATTAAAGCAGTTTCTTTCCATGTTCAAATCAGATTCTGGGGATCTGCAGCAAACCCTACGCACTATCCCAGTGGAACCTCTGTTAGTTTTCTTCCCCAAAGTGATTTTGAACCAAACAGATTCTGTTTTATCCATTCCATCATTTCTAATTTCTTTACAGTCTCATCATTAATATACAATGCTACTCTATCACCTTTACTTCGGTCTTTCCTGAACAGCTAGTAGTAGTGTTGACCATTCAATACCTGTACACCACTCATGACTACTATTCCACCATGTTTCTCTAATCCCTATAATATCTGGTTTCACTTCCTGCACCAGTAGTTTTAGTTCCTCCATGCTGTTACCCAGAATCCTTGCATTGGTATACAGACAACACCTCAGTTGTTTCTGCTTGACTTCACCCGATTAGGTACAGTCATTCCATTGCCAATATCGCCTACCTGACTGTCACTGGCATTAGCATTATCTTTCCTTTGGACATCCATTCTCCTCCCCTCTGTTGTTCCTTTCTCCATTGCTGTATCCTCTCTTACTTGATACCCCCCCCACACACACACACACACACTCAATGTTAGAATCAGGCATGGAGATTTTTGAGCATCTCCCAACCATCTCTCCTGAATTCCTAGTTTAGAGCTTTTTTAATTAGCTGTGCCGACCTCCATTCCAGAAGTCTATTTCCCTCCCAATCAGGTGGAGTCCATCTCAGGGCTTGGCTACACTTGCGAGTTAGAGCACATTAAAGCAGCCCCGGGCGCCCTAGCTCACTACCCGTCCACACTGGCAAGGCACGTAGAGCGCTCTGACTCCATGGCCAGAGCACTCCTGGTACTCCACCTCGGCGAGTGGAATAACGTTTGCTGCGCCTTGGCTACAACGCCCGGGCATCAGTGTGAACGAGGTGTTGCATTACTGTGCTCTGATTGGCCTCCAGAAACATCCCATAATCCCCTTAAGTCAAGTGGCCACTCTTGTCATTGTTTTTGAATCGCTGCAGGAATGCGGCTATGCCCTTTCAAAGCTCCGTTTCTGACAGCCGGCATTCTTATCAGCTCTGAGACAAAGCAACCATTACTGTGGAATGCTGTGTGTGAGAGAGAGAGGTGAACTTACAAGACAGCATGCTGACATGCTCTCAGTCCCCCCAAAACCCACTCTCTCTCCCCTCTCATACACACAACACACTCCCTCTCACACTCCATCCCACCCCCCCATTTGAAAAGCACGTTGCAGTCACTTGCATGCTGGGATAGCTGCCCATAATACACCGCTCCCAATGCTGCTGCAAGTGCCACAAATGTGGCCACGCCAGTGTGCTTGAAGTGGTCAGTGTGGACAGACTGCAGCGCTTTCCCTACTGCGCTCTCCGAAGGCTGGTTTAACTCAAAGCGCTCTACACCTGTAAGTGCAGCCATGCCCTCAGGCTAGTCCTGTCACCACAGAAGCATGCTGCTTCCTGATGTTGCAGTACAGCATGGACTACAAAACAACAACAACAACAACAACAAAAAACACAGGACTATCATTTCATAGAACTGCTGGCAAAGTTGAAATAAAAATACATTGTAGGTACAGAAGTAAGTTAAGATTACTATTTCATTCATTTTCTTGAGTCTTTTTCAAACAGACTTTTTAGCAGAAGGTGGAATATATATTGTAGGTACATAAAATAGCTCCCCTGTGGAGGCAAAGGAGAAAACTGCTCATCCAGTTTTGTTATCATTCAGTTAAAAATGTGGTATGAGCTGACCAACTCTGACAGGCTGAGGCCAGAGTGATTACAAATGTTGCCATGTCACAATCCCTTGAAATCAGAGCTCATAAGAGCAATAATTCCAAACCCTTTTTAGAACAGCCTAGAACTGAAACAGGGTCTCCTGTTTAGTTTTAGGGAACAGCAAAGTCTTGAGCTATAATTTGTCCCTTTTGGGGGCTCTTTATGAAAATACTTAAAAATATTCAAAAAAAAGTCTAAAACAGAAGTAAATATTAATGGCTGTATTTATCATGAGTTACCACATGCAGCATGAAATACTCCTTTGTTAGCAACATGTTGTGAGTAGGAGGAATTTTAGAGGTAAAAGTTTGAGCAAGTTCCATTTTAACACATTTTTTCAGTTTCAGGGTTTGAGGCACTCCCAGCTGCTGCATTGTGGGCAAAGAAGGGTGGAAGCAGAGTATGACTAAAATCCTACAGTATGAGAGAGTCCGCTCTTTCCAGTCTCCCCCCACAAACAATTTGAACATTTGAGATAAAATAGAAGGTGTGAAGGTTAAGGATGGGATTGTATTCAGGTTAATTTTCCAACCATCCATCCAGTTGCCATTACCTCAGAAGTCTAAGGAACTCAGCCTTCACCGATAATTTCACTGCAGCCCCAACAACAAACTGAATTCCTTCCCTTTGATTTGTGCATGTACGTACTTGGGTGGGGGAGGAAAGGAAGGGAGACTGACAATAAATGTGGGAAAGCCAGCAATTAATTAAGCAAGAATATCAGTTACGTAAGACTGCCATCACTCCAGGTGTCTTGGCACCAGTCCTCTCCTGGCTGTGCACGGCTAATGGGGCAATGCATGTGACCATCATCCACTGCCCTGCTCCCTACTCACAATTTGTT